AGTCACCAATGAGACATTTGCACCAAGCACAAGGCTGCAATACACAGCTGTGGGTTTGGGAGCAGGACAGATGAAGGAATGAAACCTGATGACAAAGAAATAAATATAGCAATGTTCATGAAGTACAGTTGTCCATTTTCTTACATGTGTTTCCTTAAAAGTGTGAAAGTATTCAGAGAGGTCCCTACAGAAAAAGGAAAATTGAATGAACAAACATACACACAAAAAGCCCAACCAACCAACCAGAAAATCACCAAAAAGAGCCGCATAAAACCAAACAAAACCCCCAACAAATCACAGTAAATTATAGCTACCCCTGCTGACAAACACTTGGTACTTCTATTTCAAAATTATTAAAAATCATTGTTAAACGTTTTATCCATTAAATATCACTTTATCTACTTCAAATGTACAAAACCAGAGGCAGACTTTTACTGGGACCTTGCAACTCCAATTAGGTGAAGACTGGCTTATTCATTACTAAACCACATGTACTAAAGAGTAACAAGTCTAACAACACACAAGGAATCGAAAAGCATGCAAGTAGTCTAACAACACAGCACTTCAAGCAAGAGACATATCAGCACTTACTGCCAAAATAACACTGAGGGTTTAGCAGCATGTCTTTAATCAAACTGTGCTTATTGTAATCGTGTGATACACTACATACATGCACTGTCTCTTTTCTCCCTTTGTCACCGACTTTGGAACCCCAGCACCTCTATTTTTAATAAAGCAGTCATTGTCTCAAAGATATTGAGTTTCTTCACAATTTTTGAAAACAAGCAAGCAGATAAATGACAAGCATTATTACAACCCCTGCCCAAGGAGAGACTGAAGATTGAGCACAACTTATTTTCCACTGGAGAATTCTCACAAGTAAGATCACGAATCACCTAGCTCCAGGAAAGCTGTAAGTTCCCTTTCTGCTAAACTACAGAGAGATTACAATCACAACCCAAAAAGGAAATCCATAAGAAATGTTACTTTCTCAGTTTGCTTTCTCAGTGAAAGGTTTATTTCCAGTTAGCACAGCCCTTGAAGGATCAATATACTCATAATTTTGAAGGAGCTTGTCAACTTGCCCATCATTTTTCCATCCACCCACCAAAATCCCTCAGCTCTCAGCCAGGTTTCTGAATTTTCAACCACTATCTACATGCTGATCATCTTAGGAAAAAAAAAAAAAAAAAAAAAAAAAAAAAAAAAANAAAAAAAAAAAAAAAGAAAAAGAAAAGAAAAAGATAACAAAACAAACTGTCCCTTTTTGAAATCACTTGCCACAGGATATTCTCAAATAGCAAAAAACTTCAAAACCATTGTTTTGCCTAAGTGATAACAGGAACATGTTGGTAGCAGCCTGTGAAGTCAAAGAAATGAGCTCATCCCTCTTAATACTATTCTCAACAAAATTAACAATTTATTTTTGTTATAATGAACCTTCTTCATTTAAAGCTGCTGCATTTGTTTCCAGGAAGATTTTACTGTATGGGTGGGTATAAAGCATGAAAACAAACATTTTTTTACCCATTGTGTGGCAAAAAATTCAAATGCAAAATGAAAAGGGGGTTGTTTGGTTTTAATTTTAATTTAAATTATATTCCTAGAGCAATTTGATTTTATATATCAAACTTTGCAAAAATATTTTCCATTGATTAATTTTGCTCTCCAAACCAAGATTTTGGGGTCTCTTAAAGTAAAGGTTTTAAATTACAGAATCTGGCTGCAATATTAGCTATGGAAGGGCTAGTTTAATAATATTATTACACTAATTAGTTTGTAACCTTTAGCTAATTGCTTTCAGTTATCCATTAATTCAAGTTCTGATTAACTAACAGATGTTCCACTGCAACAAAAATTATTATTAGCTCTTATGTATTCAAATGTTAAATGCAAACTCCAAGTCAGACTGCAGCTATTTGCAAACCTCACTTAGATAACAATTACATTTTTATTCTCCATTCCTCCTTCCCTCTCAGAACATTCAAGCCATTTTGGCAATGGCAAAACTCCCCAAGATACTGCAGCTAGTGCAGCTGATAAGACCACAGCCGGTATGTAGAGTACATGACCCACTGAGTGTCAGAAAAATAACACCTCCTTGCTTTTCCAGTGGTTTTGCATGATTTAATCAGGACCAAAGATCCAACATGGCAGGGAAAGAAATGCAGATTACAGGTAAGACTCCATCGCACAGTCAACTCTGATAATCATTCAGTTACATTATATGATCTAGTTGCACTGAAGTTTTGTGCAATAGCTGTGCCTCCCCTTTAAATATTGCTAATTAAATAAGAAATAAATAAATGAGGGGTGATAGAAGATGTAGGACATGTAGCAATTATAGCAGCAACAAGTAGGTTTAGGCACTGCAACTGCAAGAGAAAACATACATACTCTGTTTTCAATTACCATTCTAATTAAAACAATATAAGCGAATACAACTGGACATGATGCACTAATTAAATTACTTGCATGCTATGTTGACCTCAAGCACATACACTAGCATTGTTCATAAATAATTAGGATTTAATAATATTTTGAAGGATTATTAAGACTTTTAGAGGAGCCTCATTACACTTAATGAGAGCACTGCGTAAGGGACAGTGCTCTCTAAATTAGTATTCCACAACAGTGTCAATTGTGGAAAAAAGCACAACCCCAACCTAAATATGCCTCCATGTACAAACATATTCCCCAAAAAATACCTAATTTTAAAGTAAAAACATTTAGTCCTCTATCACAGAATTTTGATTCCAGTTCTGTAATGCAGAGAAGCAGTGCTAGTATTTAAGCATTTTCAGTTAAAATTGAAACTTTACTATTTATTAAAACAAGGTTACAAAACAAAACAAAAAATTTAAAATTCGGGTTAGATCAAGACCTCCTAGAGGGGAAAAGTGTTTGGTTTATTTTTCCAAATTTAAAAATTAACTACTTTTTCAGTTTTGAATTTCTAGAAGAAATATCCCATTTTCCTTTCAGATTGTTTAAATTAGTTCTCACAAGTTTCTCCCAGCTCAACTAAGTCAATTTGAATGCCATAAGTCAGTATAAAATGATACCTACTAGAATGACAGGGAAACTTCAGGACACAGCTTTAATATCAGAGCCCAAAGACTGATTTGCTGTGTCACAATAAACTTGTTCAATAAACTTGTTTTTAGGATATATTCTTCTTATATGAGATAAAATAAAATGTTGGAATATATATTAGTATATCAGCAATACTTCCAGCTTCAGCAAGAGTAGCATTTTGAATTCAACATTTTATCATTCTTTCAAATCCCATATCCTAGGAAATTTTAAAACTGCTGCATTTGTTAGAAAACAGTAACATTTTCACAAAGGCCATCAAATTCAATCTTAACAGCCACAAGAGCTTTGGAAACTTCGGTAAAGGACCAGAGCAGGAAGCTCTGGACAAGTTAAATGGTTCACAGTTGTTCAGAGTGGCCTTTCATTTCCCTGCTAGGCTTCCTCCCTAGTTTTCAGGATTCCAGAAGGAAAGAAGGAGACAAGTAAGGCTGCAAGGAGCCACACTTCATCTCACTTGCTGAACTCCCATTGTTGTGTCCAGCTGGCTCCACTGGCCAGGTGCTAAAATGAACCTGTTCAATATATAGAACTGACATTTTGGATAAATGCTGCCCAAAGCTGTGTATCTAGACCTTTACAGAGCTAAAAAATTTGCTCATTACTTTGCCTCCTTATTTCTGTTCCTGGCTGTGACCATGCAAGAACTTTTCCAAGTTCTAATTTTATACATGCAGGAAAGCATTTGCAAGCTCAGAATGATCACTAGAACAGTAGAGTTCATCCAGGTCAAATACAAACAGATATCAAATCTAAAGGTGGTTTTATTTCATGCTAAAATATGAGAAAAAAAATATTGTATAGGAGTAGACCTCTGTGTAGAATAAAATAGTTGCATAGTGGCACTTATAAGGGTAAGAGTGTATGACTGTTGGAATGCAGTTTATGCCTGTCCCTAGAAATGTGAAACCTAAAGTAGGCAACATAAGTTTACATTCAAAACAAACAGCATAAGAAGATAAAGATCTAATCCCTGAGAAGAGCACGATGCTCTTTCATCATTTAAATCAGAATTAAATTTATGGAGGCTTAAACACTTTCAGGCTTCCTGGAAAACATGTTTTAAGACTGATTCCAGACTGTAGTTATCTGAGGAAAAAAAAAAACAACAAAAAAAAACCCAAACAAACAGCTCAAACATTCCAACTTCCGATACATCCATACTCCCAAGATTCAAAACACAAGGTGCTCACAGGTAATTCAATTAATGATGCAGGAGATTGGTAGAAAAGCACAAGTTGTATTATTCCCAGAATCTGAGCAACAAAAGGTAACCTTCTGATAGAAATAGAGAAGACCAGGGCCTTCTCATTGTTAAAAAAGAATTCATTATGAAATTCAGGAAGGGCAACTGTAATCCAACACCACACCAGCCTAAATTTTCAAGGCATTTAGGGATTAAAGTTCCTAACATTGTATAAAATAAATATAGCAAATTTAAAGAACAAAGGTATCAAAATAACTGGGAATTTTTAACATATGTTAAATTAAACATAAAAAAAGTAGTCCAAATTTACTTTCTGTTTTTGGGATTTAAACTGGAATGCTTGAGCACTGGGAAAGGATTACAATAACGGAGAAGACAAAAAACCACAGGAAAAGCAGGAAGCACAAATCAACTGTACTCTTACTAAAATGGCACAGAACCTCCAAGAAGACATTGGAAAGATGAAGCCATGGTAAAAAAAGCCATGCTGAGAAAATACCCATATGTTCACTCCTGTAATCAGAGGATGATAGTTGGAAACAGTATGCCTCTATTGCAGGTAAATATTTTTTTCATCATGAAAGGGGAAATGAAGTGATATATAGCAAAACTAGCCAAAGAAAGTCCAAATACCTTTGAATGTTGTGTTCAAAATGTTTACTGAAGAAAATAAAAGCAAACAAAAGAGAAGACAAACCCATTCAACTTTCTGGATCCTCTCCTGTCTCCCCCTTGTCTTCATTTATTTCACAGTTTGTTCCCATGAGGTTGGTCACTTTCCTCATACTCTCAAATTACCCTTTTCACACTGCAAAAGAACAGTTATCTCAGTTTTGTATTTGCATTTATTCTTCATATTTATTAATGCATTTAGGTCAAGAAAAACATATTGTGACTACTTTTTTGATTTGCTATTAAATTTTCATTTGTGAGAGAACTTTTTATTCAGGGAATTAAAGCCAACCTCAAAAGGGGTAAACATCACACACCAATTACAATTAAGGAGCAAATGACAAATTGTAGTTCTGATATCAAGGATCTCTTATCCAGAGCTAAGTGAAACATTAAGCAAGAACCACAGATTCACTTCTGCTTGATGTCTATTGGGTCATTAAACAAAGGAAAAATTTGGCAACTACATGTGATGAACTCTGGCAATCCACACAGCAAGTGTTCCACTTCTGTCCCCTACTCATCTGTCAAACTGCCCCATGTGCAGCTTCTGTTTCCAAAGGGAGTTTTGTTGAAAATTCCTCCTTTCCTCACCTAGATGGTCCCTTTTAGGGTTTTTACAAGGCACTGAGTTTTTATCCATTCCAATGGGAAAGAAATACAAGAATACCTTGCTTGTTAACCCACCCCAAAGCACTTAACAACTGGATGGGGACCTGAAAAGTCTAAGCTATAAAAAAAAGAACCTCTTCCTCACCTGCTGTAGCTATATGCTCAGGTTGTATCATGCTGCCTGTATTCTACACAGTCCTTCAATTCCAACACTGCTGATCTCTCAAGGGTTTGTCCTCTCCAGAGCTGATCTCAGATGTCATCTTGTTAGATAGCCAGAATACTGCATGATTTGATCAGGGAATACTCATTTTGAGAATTTTGTTGTTCTCACCAAGGGTCCCTATAACACTCAGAAATCATTCTGAAAAATTAATCTGAGCCTACTAAGACACTCTTCAGCAAAGCAATTCATCATAATTCCTCTTCAGCCTTATGCAATTAGCACAAGGTAGATTTTTAAACAGAGCACAAAGCACAATATTCAGTGAGGTGTGCAGATCATCCCTCTCAATTCTGACTACTGAGTGAAACAGTCTAGAGCTAATTTCTGGGGAGAGTGAGAAAAAAAAAATTGGATATGAAATCAGATATGGATAATCAAAACCTCAAAATACAAGTTAATTTAAGGCACTAGAAAAAGTGATTGCTTAAAGAACTAGATTGAAATAGTGAGTATCATTATAGGAAATGGCAACATAATAATCTTTAAACAGCTGGTGGTAGCTGGTGAATTAGAATTTGTAGTATGAATTGATGAGGCCCAAATTTTAAGCAAGTAACCAATTATCAATATTTTTGTCCTCACTCTTTCAAAACTGACTAATATCATCAACTCAGAAATAATGCAAAGCAATCCTTTCTTAGATCTGTTCTGCTCCTTCAGACAAGAAATCACTCAAATTCTAACCCAACAGCTTATTTGATACCTAAGAGCAACACACTTGTCTTGCCTTTCATATTAAATGCTCTACCTTCTCATTTTAGTGCTTAGACTCAACATTCAATAAAAACAGAGACTTTTATAATATTCAGATCTTCCAGTTCAATTATGTGGATCAAACAACTTCCAACAATGTTTGGAGAGCATCCAAATATTTGGTTACCAAACTAAGAAATTGGGGGTTGACTTGGGTGATAACTACATTGCAAATTTCTAACAAGTAGAGACAGAATTATTATTTTTCTTTGCGTTGCTTAAAAAATAAGTAATTTTTAAATTTAATTTTATTTTAATTTAGCAGTATCATTCATAATGGCCTACAACTTTTGGGCACTCCTAATGCTGCTGATGTTCCTGTAATCAATGCATCTGTGCAAATTTATGTTGGCAGAAACTGGCCCAAGAGTGTAGATAAGCACTAGTGAGATTCATGCTTTCAAGTGTCTTTGGGAAGGGCAAAATTAATGCAACATTTACACCTGTAATTAACCTCTAGAATTTATATAGAGTGGGGTAAACTTCAGGTTCTCTTTAATCAGTTCAGAATAAAGCTATTTCTCTCCAATATACTGCCATTGTTGTTTCCAAAACAAAAATACTTTTGTTAAAATTTATTTCATTTTTGAAGACTTACTCAATTTTAAACTAATTTCAGCTTTGTAGCCTAAAGACAAAAAGGAATAGAAGAGAAAAATCAGTGCACTATTATTGAGTCATTATCTTTGAATGGTCTTGCTTTGTTTACAGTTCTTAATTTATTTTGATCACACACAAGATGGATGGGAATGTCACAAGCTATCTATAACAAGTATTTTAAGCCCTCTAAAAAACAGCTGCCTTCAAAAGAGATTTCAAAGGATATTTCACTAAACTCTGCTCAGTTCCAACAGGCTGATAATGCAGGTTGTTGTATGACCTACTGAGCTCTCATAAGTCAATGAGAGATACAGGTGCTAAAAACACCTCAAGACCTGGCCCAACAAAGAATCCACATCATGTGGTTAAGAGACCACCACCCACTGCTTTCCCACTGTGAGGGAAAACTTCAGCTGGCATAGCAGTTTTGCACAAAGAAGAAAGAAGTTGTTGGTTTGTATACCTCTATGCTCAATGTAAGATCAATGTCAATCCTTTGAGTATCTATCCAGTCAATAACTTGTATTCAATTTTTATTTTTAAAATACAACATTTGTGAAATACATTTAGAAATACATTTTTGATTAAAAGAAGTTACAAATACGTTTCCCTAATTGAAAATGTATGATTAGCCTCATGCCCACAGTTACTTTTGTGCTAAAGAAATTGTGACATCATGCACTGAAGCTTAAAGCTGCAACTTTCAAAGATAACTGTAAAATTATAACAAATTATGATTATCTGTAAACTGATACGGTCCAAATTTAGCTCAGACACCCATCACACCCCTCCAAGAAAACATGCTGCTTATATTTCTTTAAACCTGCTGTTGTCTGAAATATCTGAAAATTGTTTTCAGCATCTGACTTCCATAACAAATTTGCTAAGGATACATACATATTGATTGCAGAAGCATGTTCATAGAATCTACAAAGATTTTCCTTATTCAAGTGTATCTGAAATGCAGAGAGGCTTCATGTTACGTGCATTTGCCTTAGGATGCCTTACTCTTACAGGTTCTATGGGGAGATTATTGTAAGAGTATGACATGCAGCATTTGGAGTTGTAGTATTCAAGATCTTTTGTGTATCATAATTTTGTGTAGAGATAAAAAACACATTTCATTGGCTTGGACTCAGAAGAATATTCTTCACACATACAAAGAAAGCTCATTTTACCTCTCAAAAATAAGATAAATCAGAATTAATACAAATACTAAGATAAACACTAATAGCATGGTAACTAGGGCATTCCTGAGTCTTTCTCTCACATTAGTTCAGATGTTACCCATGTCTAAAGATGAGGAGACTTATTTTTGCCAATAAACAAGGGAATACCAATTGCTTCTGCAGAAGAGACAATTTTAGCATACCCAGCAGATCTCTGGGTGAAAAACCACTCTTGCACCTCTCCTAAATGCATGCAATATTTACTGAAACTTAACTTTTAGGATATTCTCATGATAAAAACTGGGCAAAGAAGCATTACTATGCTCTATAAGGTTGCCCTGTATTCCTCTTCCTATAAACAATTTGTACAAGTGCTTGGTACTCAGTTTCTGCTACAAAGAAAAGAAATACCAAGCATTATGTTATCTGTAGTTTACTGAAGTTAATCAGAATTCCATTTGTGCCTGGTTCATGTCGCAGGATAGTCATTACCTACAGGATCAGTATGTATACATCTAATAAAATAAAAAATTAAAAAAAAAAAAGAAAAGCAAGGGCCCATTTGAGCTGGTAAGGGGTTGTAAATTGAACCAAATCATAGTATCTTCTTTTCATTCTTCTTTTCATCTCACTTCTCAAAATAGAGTACCAGCTGCAGGGCTAGGATGCAAGAAAGAACTACATCTACTTTATATAGCACAATAAGCAGTGGGAATGAGGGGGCAGAGAAGAGAGGGAGAGGGGGAGAGAGAGAGAGAACAGAAGATTTTGTTCATTGAGGAAAAGGGAAACACTTATCCTGCCCAGCATCATTTTCAGAAATCTCCCCAGCAGCTGGTTAAGAGCTCTGAAACTTAAGTCCTTTCTTTTTCTTACTCCTCCTGTCTTTCCCTCCTATAATATGGAAGGGTGGAAAGGCTCATTTTATGCTCACAAGGTGCCCAAATGATCTCCTGAAACAGAACCAGGACCCCAAAGCTATTTCCACATCTTCCTTATATTTTCACCCTTGGATGCAAATTGGAAGGACCTACCTGTGGCTGTCTGAAGGTTTTCCCTTGGGCTCCTGCACTTCTCCAAGTTGAGCAATGCTGGTGGTTACATTAGGACATAAAACTAAGCAAGGAAGCTCCAAGAAGGATAACTTCACTGTTTGATGTCCCAGGCCAGGTGGTGCAAAGAGTGCAAGAGATGCTATTACCCAAACCCATGAAGCAGGCAGATCATATCTCACACTGGACGACTTCGCTAGTATTAAAAGGAAAAGTGAACTTCAAGAAAGGTAATCCTAGTATAAGAAATCTAGGGAGGAATTAGATAGAAGTAGAAACAGCCAAAATAGACAGGCTTTTAGTTTTGTTTTGGCAGAGGTGTTTTTAATTGTATTTCTTAGTTTTTCAGACTTCTCAATGATGTTTATTTGTTCATCTCCTTTTACCAGCTATGCAGCATCTTAATTCATGTTTATTTTAGATTTTGCCAATTACTTGATCATTCCCTACTGCTCACCTCCATCTCCCTCACCCTTCAATGCTTTATTTTCTTTGGAAATATATCCCCTCCTAATTTAATTTGCTGTCACTATTTTTCTCACAGTATCTTTTCTGCCATTTAGCAACATGCTACAGACTCCACAGTGCATGAAGTGTCTGCAGCTTTGTCCCTTTAGGTGGCCAAGTGCAACAACTATTCCTTAGGCACTGCTCTCAAACGCCATGAAAACAAATGCCATCCACAGGGCTCTCTTAACAAGCATCATATTCAAAACAGCCTTTG